CTCGACCTCTACCTCAGATCACTTTTCAACTTTTACCTTACCAGTTGCCCGGACACCATCATCAATCAGTCTCACAAGTAGCACCTCGAACTCTACTTTTGCAAACTTATCAACCGTTGCGTCATCAAGTGTCTCAGCCTCCAGTTTTATGAAGAGTAACTCTACAACTTCCTCTACTAACGTGTCAACCAGTGCGTCATCAAACGTCTTGGTATCTACCCTCCCACGTTTGACGAGCACCACCTCTGCGTTTACATCTGTAACTGTTGTACCTGGTGCTTTTCCAAGTGTCTCGGCTTTTATCCCGGCCAATGTGGCACCCAGTAACTCGACCTTTACGTCAGGTAACTTGGCACTGTAGTGCCTCGCCAAATCTCTCGACGTTTCCATCTTTCCATTTGACGCCGTTAACCGCGACCTTTATCTCAGGTAAGCTGTCAGCTAGTGCATCACCAATCGTCTCACATCTGCTAGCGTGTCAGCCAGTGCGTCGAGCAGTGCTTCAGCCTCCACATCGACCAGTGTGTCTTCAAGTATCTCGGCCTCTTCCTCGGCTAGTCTCTCAGACAGTGTGTTGAGCAGTACCTCGGCCNAACTGTTGTACCTGGTGCTTTTCCAAGTGTCTCGGCTTTTATCCCGGCCAATGTGGCACCCAGTAACTCGACCTTTACGTCAGGTAACTTGGCACTGTAGTGCCTCGCCAAATCTCTCGACGTTTCCATCTTTCCATTTGACGCCGTTAACCGCGACCTTTATCTCAGGTAAGCTGTCAGCTAGTGCATCACCAATCGTCTCACATCTGCTAGCGTGTCAGCCAGTGCGTCGAGCAGTGCTTCAGCCTCCACATCGACCAGTGTGTCTTCAAGTATCTCGGCCTCTTCCTCGGCTAGTCTCTCAGACAGTGTGTTGAGCAGTACCTCGGCCTTCACATCGACTAGTGTACCGGCAAATACCTCACCAAGTTTCTCGGCCTCAACCTCTGCTAGTGTGTCAGCCAGTGCTTCCAGCAGTGACTCGGCCTCTACATCCCTCAGTGTCTCGGCAAGTATATCTGCCTCTATCTCTGCTACAGTTTCAGGCAGTGTATCAAGCAGTGCCTCGGGCTCCAGATCGACCAGTGTGTCGCCAAGTAGCTCGGCCTCATTCTCTGGTAGTCTTTCACGAAGTGCTTGGAGCAGTGCCTCGGTCTTCACATCGACCAGTGTATCCTCAAGTATCTCGCCCTCAATGTCTATTAGTGTGTCAGCCAGTGTCTCGACCAGTGCTAACCTCGAACAGTTTCAAGAACAGCAACTCTATTTTTTTGAACTCGTTAAGCAGTGTGCTGCTAAGTGTCTCCACCTCTACATTCATTACTTTGACTCCTATTAGCTCAATTTCTACCTCAGCTATTATGTCGGACAGTGTCTCACTTAGTGTCTCGGCCTTTACCCAGACCAGTATGACGCCCAGTCCTTTGACTTCTACTCCTTATCCGTCAACCAGTGTGACACCAACTGTCCTGGCTTCCACTCTCACAAGTATTAGGTCAAATGATTCTACCTTTACCTCTGCTAACTTGTCAACCAGTGTGTCGTTAAGTGCCTCGGGCTCTGCTCCGACAAGTTCCATGCCAAGTTATTTGGCCTTTCCACCTAACTTATCAACTGAGACGTCGTCAAGTGTCTCGGTCTCTAACGCGACGATTATAGCACCCAGTACCTCGGTTACTTCCTCTGCCACCTTGTCAGGCAGAAAGTCGTCAATCATCTTGGTCTCTACCCCGGTTTTTGTTGCACCCAGTAACTCTACCTCCAACACCTATAACTTGTCAACCAGTTAGTGATTGAACCTCTACGTCTGCTAACTTATCAACCAAGTGGGTGTCAAGTATCTTGGACTCTTCCCCTGCCAGTGTCATGACCAGTAACTCGATCACTAATTCTTCTAACTTCCCAGCAAGTGCAATACCAAGTGCCTCGGCGTTTACTAAGGCTATTGTGACGCTCCGTTTCTAGAATTCTACTTCTGCTATCTCGCAATCAAGTGGTTTCTCTCTAAGTATCTCGGCATTCACCCTGACAAGTTTAACGCCCAGTGACTCTACCTCGACCTCTGCTAACTTTTCAACTAGAGGGTCCACAACTGTCACGGATGGAAAAGGTAATTTCGAAAACACCTTTAAAAATAATCTTGTGTTTTCTCTGTCGGTGTTGTGTGAGGAATGGGCTCATTATATCTGTTTAGGTCAAAACCAGAAAAAAGATACCGTTTCAAATTTATCCAAATAGGTGTGTTTATGGGGCCTCGGATTCAAATATTTTATCCTAAGAATTATACCCCTTCATTCATACTTATGTGCTGAGTTCATATTTCATTCTCAAAACGTAAATCATAATGATTCTGGTATTTTATGTAGAACAAACTAGACCTTATGAAGTGAAACTTTACCGGGCTGTTTAAGGGTAAATAAAATTTCAGCAAAAATTATGCACCAATGACATCATAGCCAGTAAAATCACGGCTTAACTGACAGACGGCCAATGACATCGCGACTTAATTGACCAATCAGGTCAATAAGCAGAGTTTGGTACCATCAACTGACATGATACAACTTACTTTGACTCTGAAGATGACTACCTCAAGGTTTTCGAAACATCAGTCACTGTAAACGAACGTCCTATTCAGGACTACGTTCACCGGGATCTTATAAACGAGGAAATGTTGGGTCTTACTCCCAGTTGCCTCAGTTGCCTTTCTGTTCTGCCTTCGTCTGAAAATAACTAAAACGAACTGTTTAAATCGCAAATTTAGGAAAACGAAGGAAAAATAACAGCTGAAAATACATTTCTTTTTAGCGTGGCTTGTTTTAAAAGATAAAATCTATGTTTTATGGTCCTTTACAATTGGTTTTAGTAAACAAGGTGTAGGTGTTTTTTAGTGCTGGCGAACTTTTAGTTGGATCATGACGAGGTTTTGTTAAGCATACTAAAATCTGATCGAAAGAGGCAAATTAATGTCGCTCAGTGGTTGCCAGAGTAAGAAATTAAAACCAATTTCAAAATCACAACCTTTTCAAAGACAGCTGTAGGTAAGCATCTAAGCTCCGACAATAAGTACGACAAAGAAGAGAGCCCGTTCCGCGTTCGTATTCGTAGTTTCATTCGAAAACAGATCATGTAAAGAAATGTGTTAAAATGTTGTATTTATTTACTTACAATCGTTTTCTAAACTTCATTTATCAAATAGCAAAAAAACAGTCTCAGTGCCCATCTGTACCATCATACAAGTAATGCTCTGGGATTGCACAACGATTTCACACTAAAGGCGCTGCTATTTTCAAATGTATATACCAATATAATATAGTTAAATATAATCACCAGTAATCCATGTGTTATTATGGATAGCAAGCTGTGAAGGTAACAGAAGTTCGAATGGGAAAGTTTTGCCTTACAAAATACTCGATCGAGCCCCACTAAATACAAAATTATATAGGGCCAACAAAACAAAATTACGCACTTTTAAATAACAGAAAGACCCACAACTCAAACAAACAAACAAACAAACGAAATACCCACTAACGTCTTAAGTTGCAAACGCTTTCTAATCCAGACACAACACTGCTCAACAAACATTTCAAATAAGCATGTAGTTTCACAGCAAAATTGATTCCTTCTAAATACCTAACGAGGGAAAAAGCAGCATAAACTAAAACCCTAAAACCCTTAAACCAACAGATGTCAACAGTGACTCGGCCTCCACCTCTGCTACCGTGTCAGCCAGTGCGTCGACCAATGCTTCGACCTCCACATCGGCCAGTGTGTCACCAAGTATCTCGGTCTCCACCTCTGCTAGTCTCTCAGCCAGTGTGTCGACCAGTGCCTCGACCTCCACATCGACAAGTGTATCACCAAGTGTCCCGGCCTCCATCTCTGCTAGCGTGTCAGCCAGTGTGTCGACCAGTGTCTNATAAACTAAAACCCTAAAACCCTTAAACCAACAGATGTCAACAGTGACTCGGCCTCCACCTCTGCTACCGTGTCAGCCAGTGCGTCGACCAATGCTTCGACCTCCACATCGGCCAGTGTGTCACCAAGTATCTCGGTCTCCACCTCTGCTAGTCTCTCAGCCAGTGTGTCGACCAGTGCCTCGACCTCCGCATCGACAAGTGTATCACCAAGTGTCCCGGCCTCCATCTCTGCTAGCGTGTCAGCCAGTGTGTCGACCAGTGTCTCGATCTCCATAACGCCCAGTGTGTCAACAAGTCTCACTACCTCAACCTCTGCTAGCGTGTCAGCCACTGTGTCAACCAGTGACTCGGCCTCCATCTCTGCTAGCGTTTTAGCCAGTGTGTCAAACAGTGTTTCACTCTCCACATCGCCCAGTGTGTCGCCAAGTGTCTCTGCTTCAACCTCTCCTAGCGTGTCAGCCAGTGTGTCGACCAGTGACTCGGCCTCCACATCGCCCAGTGTCTCACCAAGTATCTCGGCCTCAACCCCTGCTAGTGTGTCAGCCAGTGTGTCGACAAGTACCTCGGCCTCCACATCGCCCAGTGTCTCCCCAGGTATCTCGGCCTCAACCTCTGCTGCTGTGTCAGCCAGTGTTTCGAGCAGTGACTCGGCCTCTGCATCGCCCAGTGTGACGGCAAGTGTTTCCGCCTCCATCCCTTCTAGTGTTTCAGCTAGTGTATCAAGTAGTGCCTTGGGCTCCGGATCGACCAGTGCGTCGCCAAGTATCTCGGCCTCAACCTCTGTTAGTCTCTCACGAAGTGTTTCGAGAAGTGCCTCGGCATTCACATCCACCAGTGTATCCCCGAGTATCTCGGCCTCAACATCTGCTACTCTGACAGCCAGTGTGTCAAACAGTGCCTCGGCCTCCACATCGACCAGTGTATCACCAAGTGTCTCAGCCTCCACCTCTGCTAGCGTATCAGCCAGTGTGTCAACCAGTGACTCGGCCTCCATCTCTGCTAGCGTTTCAGCCAGTGTGTTAAACAGTGTTTCACTCTCCATATCGCCCAGTGTGTTGCCAAGTGTCTCTGCTTCAACCTCTCCTAGCGTGTCCGACAGTGTGTCGACCAGTGCCTCAGCCACCACATCACCCAGTGTGTCACCCAGTGTCTCTGCCACAATCTCTGCTAGCGTATCAGCCAGTGTGTCGACCAGTACCTCGGCCTCCACATCACCCAGTGTCTCGCCAAGTACATCACCCTCAACCTCTGCTAGTGTGTCAGCCAGTGTGTCGACCAGTGACTCGGCCTCTACATCGCCCAGTGTGTCGGCAAGTGTATCTGCCTCCACTTCTGCTAGCGTGTCAGCCAGTGTCTCGACCAGTTTCTCGGACACCACCTCTGCTAGCGTTTTAGCCAGTGTGTCGAACAATGTTTCCCTCTCCCTATCGCCAAGTGTATCGCCAAGTGTCTCTGCCTCAAACTCTGTTAGTGTGTCTGCCAGTTTGTCGACCAGTGACTCGGCCTCCACATCGCTCAGTGTCTTGCCAAGTATCTCGGCCTCAACCTCTGCTAGTATGTCACCCAGTGTTTCCAGCAGTGACTCGGCCTCTGCATCCCCCAGTGTCTCGGCAAGTATATCTGCCTCTATCTCTGCTACAGTTTCAGGCAGTGTATCAAGCAGTGCCTCAGGCTCCAGATCGACCAGTGTGTCGCCAAGTATCTCGGCCTCAACCTCTGCTAGTCTCTCACGAAGTGCTTCGAGCAGTGCCTCGGTCTTCACATCGACCAGTGTATCTCCAAGTATCTCGCACTCAACGTCTATTAGTGTGTCAGCCAGTGTCTCGACCAGTGTCTCGACCAGTGCCTCACCCTCCACTACGCCCAGTGTGTCGCCAAGTATCTCGGCCTCAACCTCTGCTACTCTGACAGCCAGTGTGTCGACCAGTGCCTCGGCTTCGACGTTGACCAGTGTATCACCAAGTGTCTCGGCCTCAACCTCTTCTAGCGTGTCAGCCAGTGTGTCGACCAGTGCGTCAGGCTCTACCTCTGCTAGCATCTCAACAAGTGTGTCGACCAGTGACTCGGCCACCACATCACCCAGTGTGTCACCAGGTGTCTCTACCTCAATCTCTGCTAGCGTATCAGCCAGAGTGTCGACCAGTACCTCGGCCTCTGCATCGCCCGGTGTCTCGCCAAGTACCTCGGCCTCAACCTCTGCTAGTGTGTCAACCAGTGTGTCAACCAGTGACTCGGCCTCTACATCACCCAGTGTGTCGGCAAGTGTATCCGCCTTTACATCTGCTAGCGTGTTAACCAGTGCGTCGAGCAGTGCTTTAGCCTCCACATCGACCAGTGTGTCTCCAAGTATCTCGGCCTTTTCCTCGGCTAGTCTCTCAGACAGTGTGTTGAGCAGTACCTCGGCCTTCACATCGACCAGTGTATCGCCAAATACCTCGGCCTCAACCTCTGCTAGTGTGTCAGCCAGTGTGTCGACCAGTGACTCGGCCTCTACATCGTCCAGTGTGTTGACGAGTGTATCCACCTCCACTTCTGCCAGCGTGTCAGCCAGTGTGCCCACCAGTGTCTCGGCCTCCACCTCTAATAGCGTTTCAGCCAGTGTGTCTAACAGTGTTTCGCTCTCCTTATCGCCCAGTGTGTCGCCAAGTGTCTCTGCCACAACCCCTGCTAGTCTGTCAGCCAGTATGTCAACCAGCGCCTTGGCGTCAACAGAGACCAGTGTATCACTAAGTTTCTCAGTCTCAACCTCTGCTAGTGTGTCAGCCAGTGCTTCCAGCAGTGACTCGGCCTCTACATCCCCCAGTGTCTCGGCAAGTATATCTGCCTCTATCTCTGCTACAGTTTCAGGCAGTGTATCAAGCAGTGCCTCGGGCTCCAGATCGACCAGTGTGTCGCCAAGTATCAAGGCCTCAACCTCTGCTAGTCTCTCACGAAGTGCTTCGAGCAGTGCCTTGGTCTTCACATCGGCCAGTGTATCTCCAAGTATCTCGCCATCAACGTCTATTAGTTTGTCAGCCAGTGTCTCGACCAGTGCCTCACCCTCCACAACGCCCAGTGTATCGCCAAATACCTCGGCCTCAACCTTTGCTAGTGTGCCAGCCAGTGTGTCGACCAGTGACTCGGCCTCTACATCGCCCAGTGTGTCAACGAGTGTATCCGCCTCCACGTCTGCCAGCGTGTCAGCCAGTGTGTCAACCAGTTTCTCGGCTTCCACCTCTAATAGCGTTTCAGCCAGTGTGTCTAACAGTGTTTCGCTCTCCTTATCGCCCAGTGTGTCGCCAAGTGTCTCTGCCACAACCTCTGCTAGCCTCTCAGCCAGTATGTCGACCAGCGCCTCGGCGTCAACATCGACTAGTCTATCACCAAGTTTCTTGGCCTCAACCTCTGCTAGTGTGGCAGCCGGTGCTTCCAACAGTGACTCGGCAAGTATATTTGCCTCCATCTCTGCTACAGTTTCAGGCAGTGTATCAAGCAGTGCCTCAGGCTCCAGATCGACCAGTGTGTCGCCAAGTATCTCGGCCTCAACCTCTGCTAGTCTCTCACGAAGTGCTTCGAGCAGTGCCTTGGTCTTCACATTGACCAGTGTATCCCCAAGTATCTTGCCCTCAACGTCTATTAGTGTGTCAGCCAGTGTCTCGACCAGTGCCTCACCCTCCACAACGCCTAGTGTGTCACCAAGTATCTCGGCCTCAACCTCTGCTACTCTGACAGCCGGTGTGTCCACCAGTGCCTCGGCTTCGACGTCGACCATTGTATCAGCAAGTGTCTCGGCCTCAACCTCTTCTAGTGTGTCAGCCAGTGTGTCGATCAGTGACTCCACATCGGCCACCACATCGCCCAGTGAGTCACCAGGAGTCTCTGCCTCAATCTCTACTAGCGTATCAGCCAGAGTGTCGACCAGTACCTTGGCCTCCGCATCGCCCGGTGTCTCGCCAAGTACCTCGGCCTCAACCTCTGCTAGTGTGTCAGCCAGTGTGTCGACCAGTGACTCAACGTCTACATCTCCCAGTGTGTCGGCAAGTGTTTCCGCCTTCACATCTGCTAGCGTGTCAGCCAGTGCGTCGAGCAGTGCTTTAGCCTCCACATCGACCAGTGTGTCTCCAAGTATCTCGGCTTCTTCCTCGGCTAGTCTCTCAGACAGTGTGTTGAGCAGTACCTCGGCCTTAACATCGACCAGTGTATCGCCAAATACCTTGGCCTCAACCTCTGCTAGTGTGTCAGCCAGTGTGTCGATCAGTGACTCGGCGTCTACATTCCCCAGTGTGTCAGCAAGTGCATCCGCCTTCACATCTGCTAGCGTGTCAGCCAGTGCGTCGAGCAGTGCTTCAGCCTCCACATCGACCAGTGTGTCTTCAAGTATCTCGGCCTCTTCCTCGGCTAGTCTCTCAGACAGTGTGTTGAGCAGTACCTCGGCCTTCACATCGACCAGTGTATCGGCAAATATCTCACCAAGTTTCTCGGCCTCAACCTCTGCTAGTGTGTCAGCCAGTGCTTCCAGCAGTGACTCGGCCTCTACATCCCCCAGTGTCTCGGCAAGTATATCTGCCTCTATCTCTGCTACAGTTTCAGGCAGTGTATCAAGCAGTGCCTCGGGCTCCAGATCGACCAGTGTGTCGCCAAGTATCTCGGCCTCATTCTCTGGTAGTCTTTCACGAAGTGCTTGGAGCATTGCCTCGGTCTTCACATCGACCAGTGTATCCTCAAGTATCTCGCCCTCAACGTCTATTAGTGTTTTAGCCAGTGTCTCGACCAGTGCCTCAGCTTCGATGTCGACCAGTGTATCACCAAGTGTCTCGGCCTCAACCTCTTTTAGCGTGTCAGCCAGTGTGTCAACCAGTGCGTCAGCCTCGACCTCTGCTATCGTCTCAACAAGTGTGTCGACCAGTGACTCGGCCACCACATCGCCCAGTGTGTCACCAGGTGTCTCTGCCTCAATCTCTGCTAGCGTATCAGCCAGAGTGTCGACCAGTACCTCGGCCTCTGCATTGCCCGTTGTCTTGCCAAGTATCTCGGCCTCAACCTCTGCTAGTGTGTTAGACAGTGTGTCGACCAGTGACTCGGCCTCTACATCGCCGAATGTGTTGGCAAGTTTATCCTCTTTCACATCTGCTAGCGTGTTAGCCAGTGCGTCGAGCAGTGCTTTAGCCTCCACATCTACCAGTGTGTCTCCAAGTACCTCGGCCTCTTCCTCAGCTAGTCTCTCAGACAGTGTGTTGAGCAGTACCTCGGCCTTAACATCAACCAGTGTATCGCCAAATACCTCGGCCTCAACCTCTGCTGGTGTGTCAGCCAGTGTGTCGATCAGTGACTCAGCGTCTACATCGCCCAGTGTGTCGGCAAGTGCATCCGCCTCCACTTCTGCTAGCGTGTCAGCCAGTGTGTCCACCAGAGTCTCGGCCTCCACCTCTAATAGCGTTTCAGCCAGTGTGTTTAACAGTGTTTCGCTCTCCTTATCGCCCAGTGTGTCGCCAAGTGTCTCTGCCACAACCTCTGCTAGTCTGTCGGCCAGTGTGTCGACCAGCTTTTCGGCATCAACAGTGACCAGTGTATCACCAAGTTTCTCGGCCTCAACCTCTGCTAGTGTGTCAGCCAGTGCTTCCAGCAGTGACTCGGCCTCTACATCCCCCAGTGTCTCCGCAAGTATATCTGCCTCCATCTCCGCTACAGTTTCAGGCAGTGTATCAAGCAGTGCCTCGGGCTTCAGATCGACCAGTGTGTCGCCAAGTATCTCAGCTTCAACCTCTGCTAGTCTTTTACGAAGTGCTTGGAGCAGTGCCTCGGTCTTCACATCGACCAGTGTATCTTTAAGTATCTCGCCCTCAACGTCTATTAGTTTGTCAGCCAGTGTCTCGACCAGTGCCTCACCCTCCACAACGCCTAGTGTGTCGCCAAGTATCTCGGCCTCAACCTCTGCTACTCTGACAGCCAGTGTGTCGACCAGTGCCTCGGCTTCGACGTCGACCAGTGTTTCACCAAGTGTCTCGGCCTCAACCTCTTCTAGCGTGTCATTCAGTGTGTCGACCAGTGCGTCAGCCTCCATCTCTGTTAGCGTATCAGCCAGTATGTCGACCAGTTCCTCGATCTCCCCATCGACCAGTGTATTGCCAAGTGTCTTGGCCTCCACCTTTGCTAGCCTGTCAGCCAGTGTGTCGACCAGTGTTTCGTTCTCCCACTCTGCTAGCGTGTCAGCCAGTGTGTCGATTAGTGCCTCGATCTCGACATCGCCCAGTTTGTCGCCAAGTTTCTCTGCCTTTACCTCTGCTAGCGTGTCAGCCAGTTTTTCATTTAGTCAACGCATTTCTATAACTGCTAGTTCGAGGATTTTACCTTCAACTCCCAGTAAGAGTTGGTATTTGTTTTTTTATTATGTTGTGTTTTGGATGTGTTGCCTTAGACACAATTGACCACGTAATTGTCATCTATAATTTTGTCAAATATGACCTGGTCTGAAATGTAGTCAGTCCTTCCTACCTTTTTTCTAGGATTCTAGAATGTTGCTTTAATGGCCACCCATTTTCTTCTTGTGAAATATCTTACTGTTTTGTTTAAGTTTTTTTATTGGTTCATGACCTCTTCTTATTTGCCAAACTATTTTAACAAGTGAGTTGCTGGAATGTATGTGGATGTCAGTAGTATCGGCTTTTTATCCACTATGATCTTAAACAATGATCATCACTTGAGTAGTCAACGTTGACTCTTGGCTAAGACCTAACAAGTGTAACCTTAATATATATTCCATCAGTGCACATATCGAGAGCAACGAAATCAAGAGTTGTCTTTCAAAGTCTCTTGGACTAACAATTGACGAGACCCTCTCCTTGTGCGAGCATATCATAAATATTTTAAAAAAGATTTCCAGGAATCGGCGCCTTGAAACGTTTGAGACCAAACAATCATTTACGCATTCTCGGCAGCAAAAATAAATAAGACCTTAGTTGATCCCCACTTTATGTACTGCTGCAGTGTATGGTATGGTCTCATCTACACTTTGAACGATAAACTTCAAAAATTACAAAACTGCGAGGCTACCGTAATTGCCAAATTTAGATATGACGCTAGTAGAGATCCTTTTCTTGCTTTGATGGGAAAGGGTTCAGTTATTTGACCAAAGAAAGGGCGGTTATCATGTTCAAAACGCTAAAGAAGCAGATGTCCCTCCCCCCCCCCACACAAACCCACACACACACTCTGCTCGTGACATTTTTTTTTTTTTTACAATTTCTTTCCCTCTGGGAACATCGTTCCAGTTTCCAAACCAATCAATAGCTTTCTTAAGCTCCGTTTTTTTTTTTCAGGGGGCGCTCTTTTGGTTGGATTTCCATCGTGT